TCTCTCCTCTCTCTCTCTCTCTCTCTTTACCCCTTCCATCGCCAGCCTGCTCCCAGGGGGCCAAGTATCCTCCACGCCACTTGTGTGCCTCTTTCTGCACCCGCATGGCGGCACACACACACATACACACACGCGGCACACACACACACACACACACACACACAGGCGCAATGGCCGTCCAAGGGAAGGGCTACCGCCGTCAGGTATGGCGGTAATCTTTACCGAGCCGGCCGGTCGTGCACTGTTAGAAAAAACCACGACAAATGGCACGACAAGCACTGGTCAATGTTTTAGCCGACATCATTGTGCCTCTTGTCGTACCCTATACGACAAGATGACAATTAAGTCGTACCAGAAAACCACAACAAATTGTGCAAATTATCGTGACTTTTTACAATGTGGCAAAATTTTCTCAAAATCACGATAAAGTTGTGATATTGTTGTGCTCCTACGACTTAGTTGTAAAGATTGTGTATCCACGATACTTTCATGATTCTTAGTACAACTGGATTTTCAAATAATGTAGTCAAAAGTCTATGAAATGCTTCAATTTAATTTTAGCCAATATATTTTTACAAGTAAAGGTGTTAGTTGATCTAAGTTGAAAAAATTCAAACAATTTTTTTTCAAGACACAATAAAAATCTAGCTGGACATCAGAACATTGATCACAACTTTTGGATCCACAAACAGCGAGGATGAAATTCAGACGTTGTCTTGCAGAGTTGACTTGACGAGTTTCTTCTTGTGTGTTGAGAACTTGGCATTGCATTGAATATACTCCTTGAGGTTACTGAACACATCAGTGCTCCACCTAGAAATTTTTAAAAATATAAAGTTGATGCAGAACTGCATTGCCATCACCATAATGCTCTTTGTAAAAACTTAAACCTACCTCATCATTGAATGTCTTGTGTTTCTGCTTACATCTGTTGTATGAACAATCTTTGTCTACAAATGCTAAATAGAGGTGGAAGCGCAGTTACTGTAATCCTTGTTCTTCAACACAGCAAACAGCTCAGCTTCACGTCATTTGTTGAAACTTCAAGTTGTGGCCATTCTAAACAAGATATTTAAAAACTAGTCATAGAAAAAATCATTAAGCAACAAGGATAGCAAATGTGAACAACAAATGTCCATCTTAACCTTATAACTGTACTCACGACACTACACAATAAACAACAGAAACGGTGCAAGGCAGAACTCAAAGGACGAAATATCAGTGTCAACCTCGACTCATTGATCTTTCATTTCATTCTATCCACCCAATGGATCATGTTGATAAAAAGCGCCACCAAACTCTCCGGAAATATTTTTAGGAACATTTCTTCTGTTGTCACAGCGTCTCACCGTGCCGAGTACGGCCTCTTTAATTTCTCATAGTCTCGTTTATATATTTTTCATCCTTGTTTCCATTATTGACACTCCACAGCAGACAAAACTTCTCCCTTGTTTACCTTGTATGAACAATCTTTGTCTACAAATGCTAAATAGAGGTGGAATTAATACCGACTGGTGTCATTGCGTCAGGGCAATAGAAAGCTACGGAAGTATGTTGTGAATTTCCTCCATTTTATGACTTGCCACCTCGTCATTCGAAATCTTTCTGACAAACAAATTGGTGACCATCAGCCTATTGTTGGTTGTTGTCTGAGTTCCCAGGTGCACAGTTAGCTTGTGATTTGGCATTGCTAGAAAACTTTTTTACTAGGGAATAATATCAGTTGGGTCTGGTAAAGATCTCTTGGTTAACTATGTAAAGACAAGTATAGCCCTGAGATTATAGTTATTCGGTACTTCTTACTTTGTTGTTATGAGACGGCACACGGAACATTGTTTGGTCGAGGTTAAAAGTGCTTGCTATTGCAAAACCCTAATTGATAACAAAAATTCATGAGTTATTTTAATTTTGACAATCTCTTATCATTTGATAACTCTAAGAATGATCATGAGGGCAAGTGTCTTATAGAAATAGAATTCATAGTTTAGCTCAATAACATCATCGGTAAATCCTCCAGCAATTAGTCTTTTTATTTTGTGCTGATATCATACGACAAGTGGAACAATATTGTATCGTCTTATTCAAGCACGACTGCACTTGTTATCAGAAATCACAATACATTTTGGCACGAAGCGTGGTTGTACCAGTGTCGTGCTTAATTTGTTGTGAAAAGTATCGTGAATGGCACGATAATTTTTACAGTGTGTGTCCGTGTGTGTGTGTGTGTGCGTGTGTGTGTGCGTGTCTACGGGCGGGTCGCTAAAGGCGCACCTGGCGGGGCGGCCGACTGGCCGACGGCGTGAGAATGGAGGTGAAGCGGCGCAGGGGGTCTTTTTGCCCGGATTGCGGGGGGCTTTAAAGGGCCGGCCCTGCGGCCCTGTGAGAAGGGCGCGCCAAATTGAACGAGGCGAAAGGGCTTTTGGTGGGCGGTGCGTATGTTGCTATGGAAAACAGTAGTCGAAGCTGTGAGGAAGGAGTTTCACTCATTTTTTTGCTGCGGCATACGATCATGTGTGGTCTAGCCTCTAATGGTAATGGCAGCCCATGGCGCCTTGCGAGTAGGCACTCCCGGATGCAGCCCTGTTCTGCGGGACGGCCTACCCGGAGTCCGCAAGGGGCCCGCCGCCCGGCACCGCCCGGCCAGCGCATTGTTTCGGGGTCACTTAAAGCGAACGAATCGGGTGGCGGCGGGGGGAATCGAACCCGAGCCGCAGCCGCTTGAATGACCCAGTTACCGGCGTCGTAACCAACCGCGCCACCGAGACCGCCCGGCCTGCGAGCCGTCGGGGTGAATTACCCCGGGAAGGCGAATCGACACTGAATCGGAGGGCCTGCTGCTCGGCTGCTCGGCCTGGCGGGGCGGGGCCCCACTCGCGGTTTTATACTCGGATCCAAGAGGCCATTGTCATTGGAGGGGAAGGGGAGGGGTGAGGAGCGCAGTAAAATAGGAAATAATCATGAAAAGAGAGAACTGTTCGCGCAAGGCCTTGCCGGCAGCGGCCTGCGCGCACTGTGCCGGAGAAAAGGCCCAGAACGGCCCGCGGGGGGAGGGGGAGGAGGGGGTGGGGTGTGGCGGGGCACCGCCACGCCACTGCAGCAGCAAGCCGCCGGCGCCGCGCCCGAACCCTGAACTGCCCCAGGCCGACACCGCTTCGTCATGGTGCCACGCCGCGCCACGCTGGACTCACGCAGGACAAGAACCGCACCGCGGGCCGCTTTGTCCCTCGTGTCGGAATCTCAGACGACGCCCTGTCTCTGTCACTCTCACAGGACTGTGGTGAGCGTAACGAAAAGGACAGAGCGCCAAAGCACCTTACGCGCCTGCCGCCGCGGCGTCGCGGCGTGTGGCAGAAGACACGGTTTATGACTGCGAGCCGCACGCGCGTGTCTAGCCGCCTACAGTGTAGTATGGCGCGAGGATGTTACGAGCCGAAGTCGTAAAGTATGGCCCGTCACTGCCGGCCGGGCACGCCCCACTGCAGGCCTGCCTGCCAACCCGATAGCGGAGTGGTGACCCCGGCGGGTTTTTAGCAACATGGAAGGCGGCGATACTGAGAGACAATTTCAGAGAAACGCCCTTCGCACGTGAAGAGATTAATTTTTGAGAGCCGCTGCACCGTACGTCGTCTTGCGACGTGAACGCACCTCGCCGCGTTGCGTCGTTTTACAGCGGGGCCACGCGGCGACGGGGCCACGGCGAATTGCCGCTCCGGCTTGACGTGACGTGCCGTTTTGACGCGCGCCGGGGTTAATGATGATTGGCACGACACTTTTAAGCCCGTGGCGTCGCGTCGCGTCCGGCCGTTCGTCTGCTGTCTTTGTGTCCCGTTTTTACGCGCCGATTTATCCCGGCCTTATCTTTGCGGCTCTGAGGCTTCGGCCGTTGGCGTTTGTGGCCGTGCCGGCGCGCCGGCCCCGCCCATCGCGACGTCGCCGACGCCACCCCGGCCATCCCCCACGGCGGCGACACTGACGGCCTTTCCTCCCCGTTCGCAGGTGAAGGTGATGCTCCGGGTGACGGACTTCTCGGCCAAGGCGCAGACCTCGACGTCGACCGCCACGTCGACATCGACGCCCAGCTCGCCGGCACACGGCGCCCTGCACGCCGCCGACGCGGCCCCCGCCAAGGGGGAGCACCCGCCGTCCGCCACCCCCGGCGGCAACCCGCCGTCGTACCTCAGCGTGGACCAGCGCCGGAAGCAGGCAAGTCACGCCCCGCCCTACGCATTCCCATTTTGAAGTGTCCAGCATTTTTAAACTGTGGTACTTACTTCGGCTTTCCGCAGGTCACGCTGCTGGAGCCGCCGTCGTCGGGGGCGCTTAACGGCCCCGGGGACGCCCCGGACGACAGGCGGGTGGGCGTGGCCGCCCCCAAGATGTTCGCCTTCGACGCCATCTACACGGACGACGACGCGCAGGTGAGTGCGCGGGGGACACCTTTCGGCCTGGAAGGTGGTTTCCCTCGACTTGACGACGGCCTTGTGCTTGCAGTCCGAGGTGTGCGGCGGCGCGCTCACGGACCTCCTGCACGCCGTGCTCAACGGCAACGACGGCGTGCTCTTCTGCTTCGGACATTCTCGGCAAGGTCAGTGCTGCACTTGTTGGTCATCGCGAGGTCATCTTTCCGTACCGTGCCCTGCCGGCTGATTCCGGAGGAGCGTTGCTCGCTCTGTGTCGCACTCATGGGGCGGCCCGGCCACTTCCTTCATCGCGGGCCTCGAGGTTTACGAGGCTGCCCATGTCGTCGTCGGTCCCCCGGCTTCACGTGGACAGCCCATGTTGGCGCCGTTGCTCGCTGCAGCATCCTCGTCCTGGCCTCGGCCTCGGCGCCGATCTGTCCCCCAATCTCGCTTTATCCTTTATCCGCCAGTAACATAAAACGGCGAGCCGCGCCGCCGAGCCGCGCCGAGTGGCGGGGCTTTAAAGCCTCCCAGCCGCCCCGTATGTCCCTCGTACTTCCCCTATCAAAACTACCGCCGGCCCAGAGGGCTTTGCCCTTCCCGAAGGGCCGGAGGCTCGGCCAAAGGGCTGTCCAGGCCGGCCGGCCGACCGGCGGGGCCCTTATATTCAAAGTGGGCCAATTTCCCCGCTCAAATTCCGCGGCCGGGTGCATCTCCGTCCAGGCGGCGGTGCGGTCCGGTGGCCGGGCGGGCCGCGCTGCGCCGGGCCCCAGTCCCTCCCCCACACTGCAAGATAGGCGCGGCCAGCCGTGCAGCCGGCGGCAGCCAGCCCGGCTTTACCTAATCACGCCTTATGGACGACAGTTTAGCGTCCTCCCCGCCCGCCTCCGACGTGGAGTTCTCTCTCGGCGCGCCCCATCCCACGGGTGCGAGAGAGACAGAGTGACAAGTTCGGAATCGCCCTGCAGGTCCGGGGGCGGCACGGCGCGTCGCCTCGGCGGCCGAGATCGAACGATACGGCCGAACGATACCGCCACCCCCCGCCACCCTCGAGTCCTGGTGAACGGAACGGAAGCCGCCGTGCAGGCTCCCGTTTTACTGTCGCCGCGCGCCGTGTGTGATGACGGCAGCGAATGCCGGTAGGCGGGGCTGGCGAGGCGCGTTCCGTCGGATGAACGCCCTGAAACGCGCGGGGCGGGGCGGGGCGGGGCGGGGCGGGGCGGGGCCTGCTGCGGCAGTGCTGCCGAAAGCGTGTGCTTTACTGCCGCTGCAGGCCTGCGGCGCGGTGTGGCGTGTGCCCCGGGCACGAGCCAGGTGCCGACCGGAGGGCACCCCGCTGCTCCACGAGGCAGCCCTTGTCCGACGGCGTGGCCGTCTCCGAGGACGCGGCGAACGGCATTGGCTCGGTGACAAGGCCGTGACAGCTGGCGCCGCCTGCGCCTGCTGCAGCCCCCAGGCCCCCAGGCCCGCCAGCGCCAGCCCAGCCAGCGCGCCAAGCGCCACACGGCCCTGCACGAGTGTTATTTTTCAGTCCGTTGGAGTTTACGGGTGGCAGTAAACCTGGCAGCCTGCGCTGCGGAGCTGCCGGAGGCAGGCCGGGACGGCCCGGGCTGTATAGAGGATTGCCGAATCCTCGCGTGTGTGAGTGCGTGTGTGCTGTGTGTGTGTGTGTGTGTGTGTGTGAGAGAGAGAGAGAGAGAGAGAGACTCGACAGTCAGCCTGGCAAATGAAAGGCTCTGCTCCAGTGTACAGCTCCAGCACGGCCGTTGGGGCGTCAACTGCTGGCATCCGTGCCGGCTTGCCCCCAGCCTCGCCCTCTCCTTCCTCCTCCTCTAGAACTCGATCCGGGTCCTCCGGTTTTTCGCTCGCACGTGCTCTGCGGTTATAGGCCGCCGCCGGTGGTGGGATCGCGGCGGGACGCCGTCGTCGTCGAGGCATGCCGCCGTAGGCAGCGGCTCGCCGTTAGCATGGGAATGCTTGATTATCGCTCGGCACACATGCGGGTGCACGTCGCACGGCCGCACGGCCTGCATGGCGGCGGCGGCGTACCTGGAGGACCCGGAATGGAAGGCCTGGAAGCAGGTCGGGAAAGTCGCCGTCAACTGCCATCATCGTGCGCCCCGCACCGCCCCGCCCCGCACTGCCTACCTCGCCGTCGAGGAGATGCGTTTCCGCGATGGGGCGTGGCGGCGGTATTGCGAGAAGTTGCACGCGGCGCGTTAGCCGCGTTAGCCGCGTTAGCCGCGCCGCTTGCTCGGAGCGACTCGGAGCTAAATGAAGGGAAAGGCGATAAGCGGGGAGGCAGGGCTGGAGTGCCGGGGAGTGGGGAGCGTACCGAGCAGTGTGGGCCAAATGTACTCCCTCGTGCGGAACCTCTAAGGCAGCGGGGCCAGGGGCGGCCCAGGGGGGCCGCGAAGGGGTGACGTAAGCGTGCATCGGAAGTAAAAGCGATTTAAGATCGACAGACCATTTTAGTTGAACAATGATTAGTTTAACAAGTGGTTAAATGACACGCAGAAGTCGGAAATTATTTTCAGGAAATACGAGAAAATAAAAGAAGTTGTCAAAAATTAAAATGAGCTTAAAGCCTCAACACGTCTTGACCGAAACTGAAGCCTACTTCGTGCCCCCCCCCCCTCCCCGCCCCTCCTTCGGTGGCGACGGCGGCGGCCTACCCCGCCCCACCGCGCCGCACTCTGCAGCGCGCCATTGATCTTGGACAGTTTAGAATGCCCCGAAGAGCCCGGCCCTTTGAGCGACAGGGACTGCCCGCCCCACCCCGTCCCGCCCGCCCCACCCCGCCCCACCGTGTGCAGCGCGCCGCCGCGGCCAAAGTTTCCCTCTCGCCCGAAAGCCCTGCGGGCCCTGCGGGCCTCCCAACTCCTACGACTACTGCTGATCTGCAGCGCAGATTTCACTGTTTATTCTGACTTTGGCGAATCGCTTTTTGCGATAGTCCTATTTCTCCCGTGCGCCGCTGCGCCGCTGCCGCCCCGTTCGTTCGTTCGCTTCGTCCTCCCCCTATCTCTATCTCTCCGTTCCATCTCTCCCTCTCCTTCTGTTTATGTAAATCGGCCCCGCCCCCGCTAATCCCGCCGCCGATCCCAGACGACGGCGGCCTGCGCCGCGCCCCGCCCCGCCCCGCACGTTGTTTTGATTCCACGCGATGGCGCGGGCCGATTTAAGCCGCGTTTTCGCGCCGCAGTTAGGACCAGGCCTTGTCGGGGACACGCCCGGCGGCTTGCCCGGCGGTGGGCGGACAGACCGACGGGCTGCTGTCTGCCTCTGTGCTGCAGCGGTGCGCGGGCCGTGCTGGCCGTGCTCGCTGCACCTGTGCTGCGATGGTTCGCGACGCCGGGGTGCGGGGGCTGGCGGGGCCGCCCCGCCGGGCACGGCCGGGCACGCGCGTGCCATATTTCACACGAGAGCGCAGTCATTTGCGCGCCGCTCGCGGGGCCTTCTTGGCGGGTTGCAGCCGGGAAGCCCCCGGGCCCATACTCCGAGAGTCTTTTTCGTCGCGCCGTCTCTCTCGCACCTACACGGGACGCGCCGTGAGTGCGAGAGAGACAACGATGTAAACGACTCTCCAGCCGGCCGCCACGGAGAGCCAGGGAGGCATTGCCATGCGACGGGCTGATTCTCTCTCTGTCTCGCTCGCACTCGCAGGGCCTCCCACAGAGGTGCGAGAGAGACAGCACTGGAATCACTCGGCGGCAAGACGGACACGGTAAAAACGAAACCTGGGATTCCCAGGAGCCCTATGTTATAAGGTATAGGAGTTTCCAGGAGATTCCTGGGATTCCCAGGAAGCGTTTTTACCGTGGATGCAACACGTCGCGGCCAAATGTGTGAATCGTGTCGGCCGTCCCGTCCGGACGGTCAGGCCCAAAGGGTGGACCTGGGGACTGACTCCGCGCCCCTCTGTCTCTCTCGCACTCCCGCGACGCGCCCCCTGAGTGCGAGAGAGACAGAGCGACGCGGAGTCACTCAGCAGGCCTGCACACGCTGGCAGTGCTGCAGCTCGGCCCCACTGACGGCGACAGTTATCGTCTTTTACTTTCTTCCTGCCTTTCCCTCCCCTTTCCTTCGGGGCTTTCGGTGCCGTCGAGTTATTCCCGCTTTTTTTTCCTCTTTCCCTCCCGCTTTTGCCTGCAGCGCACCTTTATAGCGTGGAATATCCGAGACGACGCCAGTTAGAATAATGTCGCGGCAGGAATGCATCCGGCGCGAGGCGCGCGAGGGTCTCGGCCTCCTTGGCGTCGGCAGTCGGCGCGCACCTCCCTAAATCACCCGCGCAGGCGGCGCGGCACCGCCAGGACACTGCCAGGGCACTGCTCTGCAGCCAGTGCAGCAGCGGAGCCACGCCGAGCCACGCCGGGGCCGCCTGGCGAGGTAGGCCGCACGAGCGCACACGTGTCGGCGCGATGCCTAACTCGCAGGCGCTCGCCGCGCTCCGCCGCGTTCGCGTTCCAGCCGCCCGATTTCGCCTCTCTGTCTCTCTCGCACTCATGGGTTGTTGACTGTTCTCTCTCTCTCTGTTGCAGGCGCCGCCCGCACCATGCTGGGCACGCCGCACGGCCCCGCCACGCTGGGCGCCGCGCCCTGCGCCGTGGCCTGGCTGTTCCGCGGCATCTCCGAGCTGCGCGCGCGCGGCAACGCCCGCTTCTCGGTGCGCGTGTCCGCCGTGGAGGCCGCGGGCGGCGGCCGCCAGCCCCTGCGCGACCTGCTCGCCGCGCACGCCCACGGTGAGTCCGCCCAAAGGCCGCCCGGTTTGAATCAACTACTTCACTGCAGAAACGGTCTCGGTGCAAGACCGCGCAGAGTAAAGTACACAAAGCAGGCGACTCCGGTGCGCGTTTTCGAGAAAAGAGTGGCGGCCGCTGTGCCCCGCCGCGGTCCCCACAGTGTGTCGGAACGATCCGGACATCGGCGCTAATCGGCGAAGTCGGGGCCTCCTCCTTTTTCCCGCCGTGGCGGCTTTGCGGGCTCGGCGGGCTCCACGAGAGGCCATCTGTGAAAACTTGCGCCTCGGCGCCGCTCTGCGCCGCTCGGCGCGCAACGAAGTGTGTAAGCCGGCCTGGGCGGGCGCGGGCCGGGCCTGGGGCAGCAGCACTAGGCCGACGAGACAGGGAAAGCCAGCCGGGAGCAGCACCGCTCGGCAACATATGGCTATCCCGCTAATCCAATAATTACCCCACGATAAGAGTTTTCAGAGCGGGGGAGGGGGGGACGGGGAGTGGGGGGCTCAAGTTGTGAATCGCGCCGCGTCGCGTCCGGCAGGCCCAAGCCAGCCAGGCCCGCCGCGCCTTCCCGTCTTTGGGGAAACAATTAAAGTCAGCCGCTCGCAAAGTTTGCCGCTCGGCTGGTCCGGCTCGCCGTGCCGGGCGCGGGGCAGTGGGGCGCAGGGCCGCGGCGGTACAGCTGTACAGCCTCGCTTTCTTTCGCCCTTATCCGCGCCGCCGGGCCTGCCGGGCCTGCCGGGCCTGTAGCTCGCTGGCGGCCCGCCCGGCCCAAACGTCCCGGATTTGCCTTCTCTTAAATTAGAGTTTCGCCGGGCAGCTGCTGCGCTGCCTCTGTGTATGTGTGTGTGTGTGTGTGTGTGAGTCTCTCTCTCTCTCTCTCTCTCTCTCTCTCTCTCTCTCTCTCTCTCTCTCTCTCTCTCTCTCCCTCCCTCTCTCTCTGTGTGTGTGTGGGGGGGGGGGGGGGGGAGGGCGTCGTCGGCGTGCCCGGAGCGGAGCGGGGTTCAAACAGGAATCACGAGGGCGGTGATGTCGTTGGCGGCGTCATGCGGCGGGTACTTTACTTTGGCAAACCCGTCTGGCTCCGCACGCTCGCCTGCCTGCCTGCTCGCTCGCTTGCTTGGCGTCGCCTCGTCGACTTGCTCGGCTCGTCCTCGGCGCCGGGATTTGCTTGCTCGACTCAAAGGCACGGCACGGCACGGCGTCGCAGGAAGGAGGAAATTGTTCTCGATCGGCCGGCAGCAGCGCCGTGCCGCCCCGCCCCGCCCCGCCCTGCCCCGCCCCGCCCGTCTGACCGTAGAGAAAGGGTGGGGTGGGGGAAACGGAAGCAGCTCTTCTTTGTAATAACCGCAGGCGCGGCGCGCACAGACTGTCGTCCTCGTCGCTCGCTGGGGGGTGGGAGAGAGAGAGGGAGGGAGGGAGGGGTGTTAAATCGGTTTAGTGCCGAGATAACAGTTTCCGTCCTCACTTTATGAGCAGCCCGCCCCGTGTCAGTGACATACCTGCGTGCGGCTGCGACACTCGCAATATAGCAGCTGGAAAAGGGAGGGGGGGGGGGACTCGTTGTTCAGGTGAACGGCCCCGGTAGAGCAGGCGGGACGGTTTTTCTCTGCTTGACCTACAAGAAGCGTGCGACATAAATTCTAAAGCTCGGAAATTTAGTGCTTTTGTAATCATTCATTAAAATGTTTTTGTTTTATTATTTTTAGCAGATGATACCTTCACACTTGAAACATACTTAAAACTACTTTACACATGAAGGTGTCAGCGTGCTTTTACTCTCGAGTCCAGAAACGAAGCGCGTATCCTAAACAATATAATAGGGGCTGGCTGCCGGGGCGGGCTGGTGCGTGTGGCTGGCTGGCAATGAGGCGCAGCCTGCGCGGGATTCGACAATCCCTCCTCGGTACAGCGCCAGCGGCACCGGGCGTAAACAATGGCACCCCCTCCTCGCTCGCGACGGCCTGCCACGGCCTGCGCGCAGCATTGACAATCCCTCCCCGCCTGCCACGGCGCGGAATATCGCGCAACAACGCCTCCCGATTCGGCCCGGCCCGGGGCACTCGGGCCAGCTCGGGCTCGGCGGCGGGCGGTGCAGGCACACAGCTCGGCACGGCTAGTACCAAAGTACCAACACCGGCCACCTCGCTCGGGTCTATATATTTTGTTTCATACACAATTTTAATTACTATCTTTGGAATGAGCCCGCATACTACCCCGTATAAGGAAACCGAACGAGTATTGACTGAGAAATTTGAAAGGGAAAAGAAAAAAATTTGAACTCTACACCCCCTCCCCAGTCTTAATGGGGAGGCCTCCTGCTTTACTTCGGTGTTCGGGATGGGAACCGGTGCTATCAGGTACCTGGGGTTAATCCCGTCAGCGACCCAAGCGTTCGCCGGGGGACCCAGTAGGACCCCAAAGCTCAGGCAGCTGGGTGAGAGCACCCAGTACGAAGCTCTTGAGGGGCGGGACGTAGAGTGAGACGACAGAGAGACAGAGAGAGACTCAGACAGAGAAGAGGTTTGGTGGGAGCTTCTTGTTTTCGTAGGGTTGGTTGTGTACCCCATGGTACCCCCACTGTCCGGCGCTCCCGTACCGAACATACAGCGTTTTAGGCCAGCTTCAAAGGACTTATCATCGCCTCCCCGACAATCAAGGAGGCACCACCCGCAACCACACACCGGATGGTCTGGATTGATGGATCAAATACTCCATCGCTCCAGTGCCGAGGCCAACCCGCCGAAGCGGATTGCTTTTTAGACACCCACAGCGGAGTGGCCAGGTGAATGTGACTCTGACCACTACGCTATCACGCTTGTACGTCTGGCAGCGTGTTGGACGACGGGTTTGAGTTGCAGTGGGAGGAAGGCAGTCGAAAAATGTAACGAAATGATGAGATTCGATCCCCGGACCCGCCACCGGGATCACACGACTTTACGCTCTCGGCCACCACGGCCCATGATGAGGGGACCGGCGTTTAGGTGGGTTCTTTGACGCAACAGGACTCGACCGACCCGGTCAAAATTTCCCAAGAAGTTGGGGGAGTCGAACCGCCGACCCTAGCATTGGGAACCGACGCCTCTACTCCCTGGACCAACACGTCCCATGCAGGAAGTGGGCTCACGTTCACGGGTTTCAACCGCACTGGGTGAGGCAGTAAAATTAAATGGAAATATTTGTTAGGAGTCGAACCTCCGGCATGTGGGTCTGTTGCACACGGCTCCGCTCGGATGGCCTCGTATGTGACGCTGGTATTCGAACGCCCGCCTGCGGTAACTCGATCCCACGTCTCTAACCTCGGTTCACAGGTGTGAAACGCGCGGATATCTGGGGTTCCAGAACGTTCGTTGAAAAGAAACTTTTCAAAAATGGGGAAAATTTTCCGGAATTTCTGGCTAGACAGTCGCCCGTTTTTTGCAGGAAAAATGTGTACCTGCGCAAGGTGCTCAAGTAAAAATTATGAAACACATGAGTGTATTTCCATTTTTCTTTCAGAAGGGAACAAAACAAAACGTTTTGTAATCAAAAATTAGTTTTCTATCAAAAAATTTCGTATTAAAAAATTTAACTTTTATCAAAAGTGATGGGTTTCATATGAAGCAATGTTCCCGGCCAAGTGGGAATATTCCCGGGAATTCCCGGGAAGTCTCGGGAATATTCCCCTGAATGATTGTTCCCGGGAATTTTCGAACACTACTCTAACCTTTCGGCTATCACAGCAGTTGTGAAACGCAACGGATCATCTGCTTTCATTAACGTTCGTTGAATGAGATTTTTCCTTTTTAAAAAAATGAAATTGTCCAGCTTGTCTCACTAGACAGTCGCTCTGTTTCGGGACGGTTGCAGACTCGGAGCAGTCCCCCGGCGTGTACCTGCGCGACGACCCGGTGCTGGGCACGCAGCTGCAGAACCACTGCGAGCTGCGGGTGCCGTCGGCCGAGAGGGCGGCGCACTACCTGGACTGCGCGCTGGCGGCGCGCTCGGACGAGGACGCGCACCTGCTGTTCACGCTGCACGTGTACCAGTACAGCGTGGCCGGCAAGGGCGGAGGTGAGTTCGGCGCGGAGGTCGTTTGGCCAGGTTGCAGTTGCAGCGGACGCTGACTTATTGGTTTTTGCAGTGGCGGGCGGTCGCAGCAGGCTCCACCTCGTGGACCTGGGCCGCGGCGCGGCGGGCCTGCCGCTGTCCAGCCTGGGCCACGTCCTGCTCGCCATCTTCAACGGCCAGAAGCACCTGCCGCACCGCGAGCACCGCATCACGCAGGTGCTCAAGGAGTGCCTGTCGCCCATCACCTGCCACGCGGCCATGCTGGTGCACGCGCATGCCTCGCAGGCGTACGCCGAGACGCTGGCCACGGTGCAGCTGGCGGCGCGCATCCACCGCATGCGGCGCCGCAAGATCAAGTTCCCCGGCGTCAACACGGCGTGCGGGCCCGGCCTGGGCCACGGCCCCCACGGCCCCCACGACGACCTGCAGCAGCAGCGCGGCTCGGACCTGGAGCCTTCCTCCTCCGAGCAGTCGGCCGACACCGTCATCTACGTGGGGCCCGCCACCGACGACGCGACCGACGGCGAGCACCCGCCCGTGTACCTGCCCGGGCTGGCGGACGGCGACCACCGCGGCGCCATGGGCAGGGCCTTGCGGGGCTCCTCGGCGGAGCACCACCGGCCGCACGGGTCGCCGGGCCCGGGGCGCGCGCGCACCAAACAGACGCCGTCCAACAGCCCCAAGTCCTCGCCCGTCCGCAACGCGTCGTCCGCCAAGTCCTCCCCCGCCAAGTCGGCCGCCAAGGGCAGCACGGCGACGCAGGGCGCTGGCGGCGCGGAGGAGCGCTGGATCGACGGGCCGCGGGTGTCCAAGTCCAGGGTGGTGGAGGCGCGGACGCTCATCTTGAAGGAGGGCCACGCCAAGCGGGAGACCTGGGTGGACGGCCCGCTGCAGAAGGTGAGCGGGTCCGCGTCCACAACAACGCGCTGCTTGAGGAACTTGCCGTCTAACTCCGGCAACCCTTTCCAGGCGGGCGGCAACGGCCTCGCCATGCTGGGCAACGGGCCCGCCTCCGGCAACTACGGCTTCATGGACTCGCACAAGAAGTCCATGATCAGGCGGTGGGTGGAGAACCAGACGGTGCACATGAAGCACCTCGGCGTCAACCTGGAGACGTCCGAGGACGTGGCGATGGCTGCCGGGGCGGAGTCCGAGGACGACGACGGCCTGGTGGACCCCAAGTTGATGGCGGACAGCAGGCACGGGCGCGCGGTGAACGGGCGCGCGGCGACCGGGCGCAGCGGGGCGAGGCTGTCGTCGGGGGTCCGGCACCGCCACGACGACGACCCCCGGGTGCGCTGCGCCGAGATCCGGCAGAACGCCAGCCTGGATCAGGCCAAGGGTGAGTGCACTGCCTTTGAATTCTCGGCAGCAGCTATGTCAGCATTCCGCGCCGCGCCGCTCTAAATATGTATCGCCCCCGGCCGCCCCCTCGCGTCAAAGGAAGGCACGCTGCCGCACGCCGCTGCCGGAATTCGGGATTTCAGCATTTCAGTCCGCCACGCCCCGTCCCGTTCGTTGGCCAAGCACTCCTCGGAAACTCGGGCTCGCTCAGCGTACAGGTGTTTGTTTGTTGGTTCTCTTTCTCCGAGGAATTGAAACGGTTTTACTTTGGCCGCGTAGGGCGGCGCGGGGCGCTGGCTCGAGACTGGAATCCGGGGCTCGCGGCGCGCAACGCACAGGCCGCCGTGGAGGCCTAGAGGCCGTCGGGAGGGTGCAGAGGCCGCGCCGAGGTCGCGTGTGTCGGCACCATTGCTGCGGCCCGGGCCTGCAGCCATGCAAAAAGCGAACTGCAGGTGGATTAGCTGGGGCAGGAATGCGGTGCCGTGGCAGTGGCGTGGCACTGGCACACTGGCGTGCGCCGCGCGGCCCTTTGTCCCTTTGCACGCCCCTTGGCTCGGCCGGCTCGGCCCTACAGGGAACTACAGTGTGGGCCCTGCCGCGGGGATGCCGACTGCCAGCGACTGCCGGCGACCCGGCGCCAGGGCGGCGCAGGACGAAGCTTTACGAGCGCGGTGGGGTAGTTTTTGTTGCGCCGTGTTGGGCTAATAACGCCATGCGGGAACTTGTTTCGGAAAGAGCGAGGGGGCTTGGAGAGATAAGGAGAAAAAATATGCCGCCCAGGTATTTGAACCCGCGTGTTTGTGGCCCCCCAGGCTCGGAGCCGCAGCGGCCTGACCACCTGTCCCTGACGAGCACGACGACCAGCCGGCTGGCCCCGGCGCCGGCGTGCGACCAGGGCGCCCCGTGCGTCGCCGCCAACGCCCCCGTCGAAGCCGCCCCCGCCCCCCTCAACTCGGACGCCGTCGAGGTGGCCAGCGAGTGCACCAGCGTCACGGACGAATCGGCCGCCGATCTCATGGACGAGGACGACGACGACGACATGCTGCTGGAGGTGACCAACGTGGGCGACGACGTGGAGATCATCGAGGTCCTGGAGCCTTCCGAGCCCGTGCCGATGGTGGACTGCTGCCTTCAGGTGAGTGAGCGCACCGTAAATTTCGTGTCGAGCCGGCTTAGCAACCGGCTGGTACAAGGGGCCCGGGTTCGAAACCTCCCCGCCGTTCCTTTTATCTCGGTCCTTTTGCACAGTCCGCCCGCGTGCCGCCGCTGTGCCCGCCTCGCCCACACCATATTTCTCGCCGATACGAGACACATCGGTAATGCCGCGCGGTTTCCATTCCGATCCACATGTGCGCCGTGCTCGGCTTCGTGTCGCACCGGCGGAGAGGCAGAGAGGGCCTGGCTTCGTTACCACAACATGTCCGCATCTCAGCTATTTATTATCGCCCACCGAGTCCCTGCCCTCCCGGGCGGTGGCGCTGGCTGCGCTGTCGGTCCCCTGGGCGTTGGGCCCGGCTCCATGGCCGCCCGGAGGCTGGAGGCCCCGCTGGGGGCGGGGGAGAGGAGTCCGAGCATATTCCTTGTATTCCGAGCGCGGCGCGGGCGGCTCCGGCACGCCAGGGAACAGGTGATGATCATGTCTCGGGCCCGCCGCGGCGCTTCAGGTACGGCGGCGGGGCGGGGCGGGGCAGGGCGGGGCGGCCGGCATGCCGCGTGAATTCCAAATGAGCGGCACATGGCGGGCGGGGGGCGGGGCGGGGCGGCATCTCCTCTCGGCGTGGCCGCGGGGTGCCGTTGAAGCTTCGCGCGGGGTCCGCGGCCAAACCGTGATTCGCACCGTCATCGGCCAGCGAGGCGCCCCGCCCCGCCCCGCCCGCAGAGTGATTCTCGGAGGGTCATTGCTTTTAAAGCGAAGCGCGGCGGCGGGGACTGCGTTGGCCACTGCGACCGTCGTCGTCTGGCTGTGCCGGGCTGCGCGCGGCTTGGTGGTGGGGTCAGCCGCGCCGCGTCTTGGCCGTTGTCGTTTTGGCCTGGCTGCACGGCGCGGCACGGTAGCGTCTTCTTCTCCGGAGGGAGGGGGGCCCTCTTTATGCTGCGTGAGCCCCTCGCCGAGCAGTCGAGCCGGGGCAGCAGCGGGGCGGGGTGGGGCGGGGCGGCCAGACGAGTTCCGCCAGGTGCCCGCTAACGCCTCCTGAATGCGGGATGAGGCGCGGGCCCCACGTGCCCCCCTCGGGGCAGCGCCGGCAGCCGCGGGGCGGGCGGGGGCGGGGTGAGGCAATTGTTTCATTATCGTGTTGTGCCGCAGAGACCGACAAACAGAATGGAAAGCAGAACGCCGGGGCTTCTCTTTCTGGGCGGGGCGGGGCGGGGCGGGATATTAAAGGGTAAACACGGCCGGGACCAGTTGTCCTAATGAAGCCGCCGGCTTGGCGGCGCGTCGGTGTTCTGAGGTGGCCGTCGAGGCCCAGCCGCCGCCTCGCCTTGACGCTGCCCGTTGGTGGCCAGATCCAGACTACAGTTGCAGTGGACAAGCCTACACCGGGGAGGGTGGCGGCGGGGCGGCTCGGCGCGCGGAGCCACTTGACTCAAGGAAGGGCCGGGAGGGCTGCTCCAGTGCTCCACCCGGCTCCACCCCCACGCATGATAATCGCGGTGGTTTGATGACTGCGGGGACCCACGGGGACCTGGTGGGGTTAGGCGGCTGGCTCGGCTTGCTTGGCCCCGAGGAGGAGGAGTGCCCGGAAGCAAGCCGCAAGGAGGCCAGCCAGGGCCAGACCCTCCCGTCGCAATCCACCCGGAGTGACATCAGTTGAAGACAACGGCCCCCGCGAGGACCTCCCTCTCACCGACACACTCACACCCTCACACACACACACACACCCTCACACACACACAGCCGAGTCTGGCAAGCACCAAGGCAGCGGTACGGCCACTGCGTTTGTGACCAGCGGGGGTTGACGTCGCGTCATGAACGCACCCCAGCCTAACTGAACGAATGTGACCGGATGCGACCGTCACTGTGGGGGCTTTGGGGCACCCTGGGGCTGCTGTCGCAGAAGACGACGCAAAGAGGCGTGTGGGGCGTGGCGGCGGGGCGGGGCAGGCGGGGGCGGAGAGACACACCCTGAATACGGAATCAGACGCCGGGCTTGCCGGCTGCAGGCTGCGCGCACAGGGCACGGCGGCAAGCGAGGGCAAGGCGGCACGGCGACGGGGATCACGACCACCGGGCGAAAGAGAAAGGGAGGAGGAAGGGCGCGCGAAGAAGGGCGAAGGAGCCGGGGAGGAACAGGACGCACAGTGTGCAGGGTGGCGCGACGGCTCTTTTTGTGATGCTGCCGGTGGAGCATTCCGATGTACAACGTACAAAGTATGCAGGCTGTTGGGGCATCGACTCGGTCGGCGTGGCGGGCGTGGCGGGGCTGTGCAGTGTTGCGGGGGACGGGTAGTTTGTTAATGTAGCGGCGGAAGGCGGTACTCTCCCCGCCCCCTCCCTCCACCAGGGTCTCCGTCGAGCTTTGCCTCCGGCGCTGTCCTCCGCAGCCGTGCCCTGTCCTGGCCCTGCCCACCCCCCGTTCCCTCGTTCTCTCCCGCCGGCGCTCCCCAGTCTCTCCACGCCCAACTGCGCGGCCCGGCCCGCTCTCCTCATGCTCTGCTTTTATGCATTTGTCATGAGTTTTATTACCACCGCCTTTTTCGATTCTGGAGTCAATTTCATAGCCTGCCCCTGGCCTCCCCGCCCAGCGCGTGTTCAGGGCGTGGTGTTCCGCCTGTTGGTGCAGGAAGGGCGAGGCGAGGCGGGGTGGGCCTCGCCTTGCGCCTACTCTGTAAAATGAAAATGGGACAGAGCTTCGTCACTTCTTGCAGCCTGATAGCACCTCCTAGTGCATTTCTTCGGCCCGAGAGCATTTCCTCTTTCTGAGTGCATTTCTTCAGCCTGGGAGCATTTTTGCTCGTCCTGAGGACATTTCCTCAGCCCCAGAGCCTCTGTTCAAAAGAGTTTGGTGGAAAACTTTTGCTCATTTTCCGAAACGTTCTGTGTGACAGGTGACGGAGGAGGACATCGCGCTGTGCATGGGCGAGAACCCCTTGCCCGAGGTGGACCAGGACGGCCCGGTGGAGCACCCTCTGCGCGTGCTGTCCCAGGAGAACCTGACGGTGGTGTCGACGTTCGCGGACACGCTGTCGCTGGCCTCGGACCTGGAGTCGACGTACTGCCCGCTGCGGTCGCGCTTCGGGCCGCCGCCGTCGTTCGCCGGGGTGACGAGCATGGCGGGGCCGGCGTGCTGCCGCCTGGACCACGGCCTGGACCACCGCCTGGACCACGGCGCGGACGGCTTGGAGCACGACGCGCGCGGCCAGCTCGCCCGGCTGCACGACCAGTACCGCACCAAGCTGGCGGCCGCCACGTCGTCGCGTCGCGCCGCCAACGCGGCCAACGCCGCCAACGCGCTGCCGTCGTCCGCGGGGCCGGGGTCGCGGTGCACGTCGCTGTCGCTGTCCGACGTGCTGCACGGTGTGGGCAGCAACGGCGCCGCCTCGGACAGCGAGCGGGACGGCGACGGCGACGGCGAGCACGCCGCCAACGACGTGGGCTCCATCTACAGCGAGCCGCCCTACCGGCTGCAGCAGCAGCAACAGCACGCCGCCAACGGCCACGCCAACGGCCACTGCAACGGCACGCTGTGCGACAACTGCCAGCGCAGCTTCGCGCCCACGTCGTGGTGAGTGTCCGCCGTGTCCGCCGCCGGACTCATATACAGTGCACAACTCTCTTTAAAATTTGGTTTAAAACAAATAGTTTTAAGTATGTTTCAAGTGTGAAGGTATCATCTGCTAAAAATTGAACCCTACGACCCCCGTGGCGTCGTTGCAGGCACAGTCCGGCGCACTCCGCCACGCGCACGCGCGGCTCCACGCTGCAGCGCTACTACGGCAACCTGCGGCACCCCGACGGCGCGTCCAATCCGGACCTCAAGGAGGAGGTCCTGGCGCCGGTGGCGCCGCTGGCCTCGGCCATCGACTGCGAGGAGATCGAGAGGAAGATCGACGCCAAGCTCAAGGCCGCCGCCAACGGCCTGCCCCACCTGGGTGAGTGTGCGTCGCGGGGCAAGGACCGCCCCTTGGTTCCTTCCTGCCGGCGACGGCTGCGTCGGCTTGACTTTTGATGAGGTGGCCCCGCCCCGCCCCGCCCGCTGCCAACGACTTTAACTAATTGCCATTTATATATCTGCGTACACGGCCCGGCCCGGCCTGGCGGCCCCGCCATGTTTGTGTGCCCGATGCAAATTATTTCGCGGCTAAACTTTGCGCGCGGCGACGCGGAAACTTTGGCGTGCTTATTAATTTACGAGGGAGGCGTGGCTCTCGCTGATCCCTCATCGCGACGACTGCGGGGCCAGGGCCGTGACGGCCGTGACGGCCTTGACGGGGTCGCCGACACGCGCGTCGCCTTGTCACCGTTGTCACTCAGCGACCCCGCGGCGCTCAACTTGCCAAAGTGTCTGCGTGGTTGTCGGTGTGCCCGAGGCTCGGCCCGAGGTGTGCCGCTGGATTGAGTGGCTGTAACGCGTTGCCGTGTCCGCAGACGCCGTGGCCGTGCTGCCCCTGCACGTCGCCGCCGCCGCCTCGCCCGTGGACTCGGACGAGGAGCCGGTGGTGCCGCCGCCGCTGCCCGCCTCGCCCACCTCGCGGCTGCACCAGCGCCTGCTCAGCCTGTCGGACCACTCGGCGTCGCCCAGGTAAGCCCCAACAGGATGACGGCCGCGACGACGTCCTTCCCGGCGCCCCGCTACGCCTGCTTGTGCAGCCGCTTGCCTGTGCCGTGTCTGTGCTGTGTCTAACTGCACGTCGTGCCTGGTCCCTCTGCGAGTCTGCCTGCAGTCCTCCCTCCTCTCTCTCACCCGCTTGCCCTGAATGTCCTGTCGCCAGGAGTAGGAGCAGCACCCCCGTGAGCGGCGACTGCCTGCCGTCCGGGCTGCCGGGTCTGACCACGGCCCCGGGCCCCGGGTCGGCCGCGTCCGCCGGCTCAGCGGGGTCCGGTACCGGCTCCGGCACCGGCTCGGGGTCTGGCGGCTCGGGCGGCTCGGGCAACCACGGATCCAGCTCCGGCTACGAGAGCCTCGGCTCGGCACCGCCCTCGTGCAGTGGCAGAGACAGCCGCGAGGGTCGCGACTCTGGCAAGGAGGACGCCCCCGGTCAGTACTCCGTCCAGATGAGGTGTAACGTTGCAGCCTTGCTGCGTGCCTGTGTGTGACCGCTTTGCTTGTTGCCGAAGGCGTGTACGGCCGCGAGGAGAGGGGCTGGGCCTCGGCCACGTCCAGCCCGCGCGCCCGCCACCACCACCGCGGACCGCGGCGCGACAAGGAGGACAAGGAGGCCCTCGCCAAGCACTGGACCTACGAACGTGAGTGCCGCCTTGTGTGTGCGTGTGTGTGTGCGTTGTTTCCTGAGCTGCGGCCCTGCGGCCCCACGCTGCTAGCTTGCATGTGCCGCTTGCCGTAGTGACTGCGTTGTGCGATGCGTTTCTCGGTGTTGCATTTGTGTGTTGCGTTCGCCGTGCAGCTTGTGTGCGGAAGGCTTCCCCCACCGTCACTCACACCGCAGCGTTCCCGCTTGGTTTTGTCACCGTAGCGTAGCTAGCATAGCGTGTGCTGCTATTCTGACTCGATCAGTCCAAGTCACTGCACCGGCCTACAGCACTCAGCCCGACGGCCGCACGTCGCACGTTCTCCGGAACCTCTTGACTGCGGGTTCGAGTCCCGGAGAAACTGTTGTTTTTTTTGTTTTTTTTTTAAGCGTCTGACTGTGTTGTGGCGGCGTGCGCAGGTTCCCCGACCGCCGGCTGCCTCCCTGACTCGTGGGCGTGGTGCTGGTGCTCGTCGTGGTCGGGCGACAAGTGCGACCGCCCCCGGCCCCGGCCCCTCGCCGCGCCCGCCCCCAGGCCCGCCCCCGTGGCGGCGGCAGCTGGGGCGCCGGGTGCCGCCGACGACGCGCGATAGCAGCGGCCGGTGCGGCCAGCTGCGGCGCCTTGATCTCACCGACCCGCCCCCGCCAAGGAGCGACGCGGCGAGTTTGGGGCCTTCCAACTTTTTAGTTTCACCGAGCTCGGCCACTCTTTATTTATTTAGCGCGCCGTCAAAGACCGCCAATGACCGTCGTAAAAGCAAAAACTTGTTTTTAATGAATTTTTTTTTTTCATCACGCTTGCGGTTCTCCCTCCCCTCCCCTGCCTTGGGGGGCCGACGGAGTTCCGGAAGGTCTGGTGTTTTAAGTTGTCATTCCAGAGGCTGCGGCGTAGAGTACTCGATGTTTGTGAAATACCGCAGCGGTCGCTCGGCCGGTCGTCGTGCTCTGGGTCGCTTCGTGTGCTTTAAGTCTGAATCTTTGGTCCAATGAACCTCGTCAAAGTCTGAAAGGTCCCTTGGTGCGCGCGGTGGGTTGACGGGTAGCGTCGCCACGTCGTGTGCCGTTTCAAAACTGTCTGTTCATATCAAAGTCTGCATATCGACTGGGACTGCGTGGAGGGACACGACGAAAAGGCATCCGAGTCAAACTAGTGGAAAAATCTGAGCGAAAAGCGTCTCCATATCGCCTGTACTTTATGTCATGCACTGTTGTTGCAGACCAGCTTAATTTAATATTGCCCTGTGATTTGATGCGCTGCTAGTGCCTAGCAAGCGTAAACTACTGCCCGTCGGGCGTTAAAGAAATTATAACCCAATATTTTAAAGGAAGTGTTAGTTGTTTATTGTTGCAGTTATGTTATTGTTTTGATTAGGGTTAGGTTAGGTTAGCCACAAGGTTACATTTCCCAGATTTATGGTGTGTGTGCCATTGTACGCTGAGGGCTGACGATAATTTTCTTCGAGCTGTATCTTTACTAAGTTACCTTTGTGTACTTCATTTTATAGTGCTAAGTACCAAAGTTGGTTGTATTCCCTGTCACTCGATTGGATTATTTTTTACCTCGCTCGAAAATAAAATGTCCGGCACCATATCACGAATCGGGTTAAACTTTTTTTTATTAAACTGTACGTACACTACGTCGTGGGCGTCCATGTTTTTCGCTTCGGCGAAGCGGAGGAAATGGACGCTCTGCCAATCTTTGTTACCTTACGCTATCCAGCATTGTGTAGCTTTTGCAAAGTTTATCCGAGAGACTGTACAGTGTTATGTAAGCATTACTTGGGGCGGAAGTCGGCAGCTCCGACGCCTTCTATTGTTTCCGTTCCGTGGTAACCACAAGCATCACCAAAAAATTGTCTAATTCTGTTATTTTCTAAACTGTTTGTATTGAATAAACGATTGCGACGAACCCGCGCACGATTCCGTCCTTCCCTCCTGCCCTGCAGCCCTGCCTGAGGGGAAGCGGCTACGATTCGATGTCTATCGCACGTCAGCCAACTGCATCGCTTGCTGCGCTGCGGGACACTCCACGGCTTGCTCAGGGTGCCAACCTTTCCGACTTGAAATCTCACGCGTCGATGGCCGCCACGCCTGAGCGGGTCGCACCGCCAACAGGGATGCCAACCTCTTAGGACCCTCGCCAGCCAGCGCCCCGTCCAGCGCCCAGCCCTGGCCACCGCCGTCGTCCTCTCTCCCTCTCTCGTGTGCGGAGGGGACGGCACGCAGGGTGTGATTTAGATTCGTCCGCAGGCCCGGCTCAGGCGACATGCAATAAATTATTTCAATTAGGTTAATGAGCCCGCGTTGGCCCGCCTTCGGCCTGCGGCACCACCACTGTGAAAGCGCGGGAAAAGCTCTCCCCGAAAAGCTCGCGTGTTTGACGTGCAGAATCCCGAGCCGACAGTGTGGGGCCGCTCGTCCTCCGCGCCCCTCTCTTTGTCCTCCTCGAGGAGCAGCATGTCGTCTTGCCATCTAAATTAACGCAACTTAAGGACCGGCCCAGACGAACAGAGGGAACCAACCAAGGGAGCGCAGCCTCGGCGGCCCGACGGCCCCGGCCTGCTGAAATCATTCCGACTCGCCGCTGGAAGTCGTTTGCGAGAAGGAGGGGGAGGGGGCGACGGCGGGGGAATTGTGTGGGATTATTGGGCGGACATTTAAATTTGAATCGCCCGCCTCTGGTCGCGCGGTGTCATCTGCACCCCTTCCCCTCCCCTTCCCCTCTCCCCCCTCCCCTGCCAGGGCCGTAATTTTCCCGCCCGCGCGGCTCTGTCAACTTCCTCTTGTATTCACTCAGCGGCGGAATCTTCAGACTTTGCTCTCTCGCCCGGGAGGGGGAGTGGGGAGGGGGTCTGTGAGTGGCACTGCCATGTCGGAGTGGGGGGGGGGGCATTCGGCATGGAAAGCGGGGCGGCCTGGTGATTAACGAATTGGAGGGGAGCGCGTTCGGCGCGTTCGGAATGGCAAGGCGGTGCCGCGCCAATTTTTCGGCGGGAGAGTGTTTCGGCTGTCCGTTTGAATCTGTCAACACGGGCCCGTATTGCCGTGTGCGCTTGACGCGGGGAAGGGGAAAAGGGGGGGGGGTGTTTCCGGCAGGCAGTCAGTTTAACGGCTCATAACCCCCGTAAGTGCCAAGAGGTCCACAGGGAGAAATAAGAAAGGGAGTTGTGGGATATAAGGCTCCTCCGAGGCCGCGCCGGGCCGCGCGGTCGGCTGGGGTGGCTCCAACTTGGCGAGGGTGTGCCGCCGTGTCCATGCGGCGGCATGCGGTGTGTAAGCAAGGGAAGCAAGCGAAGCAAGCCAGCAGGCTGCCTGCCATTTAGCCGGTCGGATCGGCCGGCGCACGGCAAGGCGGACAGTGTGGGCCACTCAAGCGGGACGCCAATGGACTGCCCTTCGAATGAGGTACCCTCCGGTACCGCCATGAGTTTCATTCGGGCTGTGGGTCGAGTCTTGACTGCCTTCAGCTTCTCTCTCTCTCTCTCTCTCTCTCTCTCTCTCTCTCTCTCTCTCTCTCTCTCTCTCTCTCTCTCTCTCTCTCTCTCTTCCCGCTGGCGCTGGCAGTGCGTTGTCGTGGACCTATTGTGCGCTTCGGCGAGCAAGCCGAGACGCGCGCTGACCCACTTTCGATTTTGGCCGTCGTCGCAGCCGGTGAGCATACAATCTACATTCCCCGCCCCGCAGCGCGCCGGCCGATCCCGAAGGGTAGTTTCGTCGCGCTGTCTCGCTCGCTCGCCTGCGGGCCGGGCCGTGGGTGCGACAGAGACGGAGCGACCAAGCGACTCTTCGGATCCTTTCTGCCCGTCTGCCACGGAGGAGGGGGCGCTCGCCCGGCAGAGCGCGGAGATGCCGTGGCCTCCGGCGTGCCTCCGGCGGGGAGGGGCAGCCCCCCGAGACCTTATCCCATTCCGGGGACAGGGTAGCCAACCTGTGTTGCATCCCGCGGCGCTGCCGTCAGGACCGTCAGGGCCGTCAGGCTGGCCAACCCGACCCCACCGCGCGAGGAGGATGTAAGACGAGCAACGCACGCATTTCCATAGCCCGGAACACGCGGGCGCGTATTTCGTTACGGTGCCGCCGCTCGGCCGTCTCTCTCGCACTCGCGGCGAGAGAGAGAGAGAGAGAGAGAGAGAGGCGGGGCGAGGTGTTCGCCATCATCAGCCCGCTGGAAACAACGAGGTAGGGAATTATTGATTGGAACAAGGAGGTGTGAGGCTAGCGCAGCGGTTCCCAACCTTGGGGTCGCGACCCCAAATGGGGTCGCGAAAAAATTTCGAGGGGTCGCGGCGAGGTGGCTGGGGTCGCCTGGGGTCGCGGTGTTTTCCCGGCTGGCCCACACGCCGAGCACTGGCTGCTTAAATGCCGCAAAGTTGATCAAAACGGTCACAAATGTCTGTAAAAGATCGTGTTTTGGGCCGACTTTAAGCATCCACTGCGTCTGATCCGAGGCGGTAAATCGTCCTCCCTCAACGGGCAATTGGTCTTTGGACCTTCCTTTTGCATGCCTTTGTTACGGAGTGTGATTATCTGCCTTAGTTTGGAAGCAGTACTGCCGCAAAGTTGGTCTAAACGGTCACAAATGTCTGTAAAAAAATCGTGTTTTGGGCCGACTTTAAGCATCCACTGCGTCTGATCCGAGGCGGTAAATCGTCCTACGTCAACGGGCAATTGGTCTTTAGACCTTACCTTAGCATGCCTTTGTTACGGAGTGCGATTATGTGCCTTAGTTTGGGAACAGTTTTGCCGCAAAGTTGATCAAAACGGTCACAAATGTCTGAAAAATCGTGTTTTGATCAACTTTGTGGCAAAACTGCTCCCAAACTAAGGCAGATAATCGCACTCCGTAACAAAGGCATGCAAAAGGAAGGTCCAAAGACCAATTGCCCGTTGAGGGAGGACGATTTACCGCCTCGGATCAGACGCAGTAGATGCTTAAAGTCGGCCCAAAACACGATTTTTTAAGACATTTGTGCCTTTTATCAACTTTGCGAATCTGCTCCCAAACTAAGGCAGATAATCGCACTCCATAACAAAGGCATGCTAAAGGAGGGGTCGCGTGGGGTCGCGAAATTTTTCCTGGGGGTCGCGGAAAGTTTTGGCTACAAATTTGGGGTCGCGAACCGCAAAAGGTTGGGAACCGCTGGGCTAGCGGCCCCCCCGATTTGCATGTGGACCTCTTTCTGTTGATGACGCTCCACGATCCGCGTGGAACCGTAGAGCGGAGGAACTGCGGGCCCACCACTACACTGTACTCCACGATGCGGGGCGGGGCGGCACTTCATTAGCAGTGTGCAGTGCAGGGCCCTTCCGCCGGTCTGCCTGTCTGCCCGTCCGCCTGTCTGCTGTCTTGTCTGCAGCAGTTTAAAGTTTCTTGAAAATACCAATACGGCAGAGAAGGGCGTGCGGGGCCAGAGTGAACTAAGTATGCACCGTGTGTGGTGTGTGTGTGTGTGTGTGTGTGTGTGTGTGGTGTGTGTGTGTGTGTGTGCAGGGCCGGCCGTGTAATCAGCCGGAGAGTGCCTCCACACCTTGCCGAGCTCAAGCAGGCCTTGCCCTAGCAGGCCTTGCCCCAGTAGGCTGATTCTCCAGGCCT